TAAGTATTCCCCAAGCTGGAGCGAAACTCAAAATGACTCCCCATTTTTTTTTTTTAATGTTCCACATTTTTATGTACATTTTAAAACTAACTTTAATCTCAAAATCACATATCCATACACCTATTTCCTTTCTATTGACTTCACTTCAACTTACATGCATGGTTTGTTAAACAAAACTGTGAACAAATATTTACCATGTCTGTTACATGTAACACAAAGGAACAGTTTTTAACAGAAATTCATTGGTACACCACCCCCAAATGCTTTTTAATTATAAATACAGGCATCAAAACAATCCTGAACATATTTTTGATACTACTAGTAGCCAGCACCCACAGAGCTTCAAATATTAGCACAATTTGCGACAATATTCATTGTACCTGCTACCTTAAACAAGGTCGACTACAGCTTTTTCACTAAGTGAGACGGATAAAGCATGTCATTTCTGTTTTCCCTTCTTGAGATTGTTTTACTTTTCAGAAACGCACATGCTTATACCACTGCCACCTGGCACTTCTCGCCATGCTTTCATCTTGAAAACTCAAATTCTATTTCAAGTACTCCAAGCTTATATTTAAATGACAGTGCCTTAACAAGAAAAAAAATTATGCTGTATTTTTCCTCTTGTCACCTGCAAACATAATGGGCATATATATATTAAATATATTCTTATGAATTTCCAGTCATGTTTACCAGCTGGAATTCTTTTACTTAATGTGTATTTGTATTGTGATATTTAATCAAGACATTCATATGAGTAGAAAGCTGTTGATTTAAGACAAATTTGAGAGCCACTAAAATTAACTGTTGTATTTGTCTTTCTGGTGGCTGTGGAAGCTTCATATCTTCTTTGGACATCATTAGACATCAGAGCCCTTGAAGGACAAATTTAATGTAAGAGTTTTGCCATTTTGCTAATATTGGTATGCTCCATGTGTCCACCATCCCATTGGAATTATTTATTTCATTAATATTAATTTTTGTTACAAATCTAACTGATGGAGGCGTTCCTGGGTATTTAGGTCCACATTCTGTTTTTATAATTTGTACTTGGTGGCCCAACAATCATGCCTGTCCATCTAGTAAGTGTCATCATATCTTTCTTCATCATCTTCAAGGTCCCAGTTAACTGGACCATCATCTACTCCTCTTTGTTCTTCTTAAAGTTCTCCCAACAAAGTGAAAATTACAAGAAACTAACTCCTATGGAGAGCGCCACCTTCTCCTGCAGCCTAATGCAGCCCTTCCCTCATATTTTGATATTAATACTTTGTTATATGAACTCTGTGCTTTGTCCAAGCTGTACTTACTGGTTATTCACTGTGACTCAGAAGACTGTATATGCTTTCTGCCTTTTCCTTTCTGCATTTTTATCAATACTACTTCTAACTAAAATGCCCCTGTGCCTTTTCTTATAAGTAGAAAGTTCCTTCCCCTTTGAAATCAGTCTCTCACTACACTTATTATAAACTTTCTTATATTATTGTAGTTATTTACATTCACAACTTATATCCATCCAATAAATTGTACATTCCTTGAAGGTTAGTACCAAGCCTTTTCATTCATCACTGTCATCTGTATAGGGCTAGCTATATTGTGCTATACATGATAGATACACAACAAACAGCTAAAGAATGAACATTTCATTGTAACAAAATAGTAATTAGAAAAAAAAATGTCCTGTAGAATTACAAACACGTTAAACCACATACACAGAAACTGACCAATTTTCTATTTAGAGACTCACTCAAGCTAAGAAAAAGCATTTAAGATCATTAAAATCATAGTTAATTTAAAATCAAAGCACACAATTTAACAACAATGAAATAAAAAATAAATCATTTTTCATTCTTATAAAAAACTTTCAGTGAAGGTAACACCTAATATAGCTTACCATTTTCTAATTCTCTGAAGTCAGTGATGTTTTAAAAATAGCACTAACATATGGGCTGGTCCCATGGCCTAGTGATTAAGAGCACCAGATCCCATACAGCCAACAGCACGGTTTCAATTCCAGACCCAGTGCTTATAAAACACATTGAGTGTGTGTGTGTGTGTGTGTGCATGCGTACGCCTCAAATCCCAATAGCATAAAGAAATGGAGGAAAAGGGGTTGTGGCGTGACCATGCCCTACTGGGGGTGCCCCCCCCTCCATCTCTGGTGAGTATCTCTGACCTCTAGACATTTAAAAAAAATATATATATATGTTTTTTTTTTTTTGAGAGGTTTTTGCTTTAGGGCATGTGTACTTGCCAGAGAGAGAGACAAAGACAGTGAGAGGGAAAATGAAAAATCATCCTTGGTGGGGATGACCATGCTGAAATCCCTTCTCCTCCATTCTTCTCCCAGGATCTTGGGCACACACCCACACCCATGTGCCCAGCATGAGTTTCAAGCCACTGGGTCCAGGATTCAAACTGTGGTCAGCCATGTGGGAGTCCAGCAATGTAACCACTATGCAATCTGCCCCAGCACTATTATATTTAAAAAATGGAATCAAACTTTCCTCTATCTATGAACTGTAAGTCCAACATCATCTACATACCTAGTTATTTTTTCTTTTTAAAAATAATTATTTATTTGAATTTATCATTATTATTATTATTAAATTTGCTATAAGGCATGTGCACTTACCAGAAAGAGAGAGGGAGGGACTACCAGATAGTGTAATGGCTATGTCTCTGGACTCCCATGTAGTCGACTGCAGTTTGAGTCCTGGACCCAGTGGCTTAAACTCATGCCGGGTGCATGTGTGTGCATGCCCAAGATCCTGAGAGGAGACTAGAGAAGAGACTGCGGCGTGGCCATCCCCCCTGGGGGGGTGACTTCTTGCTTTCTGTCTCTCTCTTTCTGGCAAGTGCATGTGCCCTATAGCAACCCCCCCTCTCCCCCAAAAAATTCTAAAGGCATTGATGGTTGACTTTGGTTACACCACAAACATAGTTCAGAATCCTCTGAGCATCATTTTACCACCGTATTCTCTTGATTCCAGAAACAGAGAGAGGGAAAGTGGGAAAGCAAGCACCAGATCCGGGACTCAAATTACAGTCCACCATGTGGGATTCCAGCACTTTAACAGCCACTCTACTTGTTGGCCCCACAAGTGTTTTAGTAAACACGTTTATTCAAATATTGGAGTGTCTTATTTTTATTTTACAATGCAAATACAGGAAAGTTTCATTTTAATGCCTGGTATCACTAAAACAAAGTCTAGCCAAAGATTATAGACTGTCCCCCACTTTGGTCTAAGGATATAATGAACAGAACACTATCAAGTCCACTAGCAGTCATTCAGATTTCCAAACGATGCACTTCAACATGAGGTTTTAAAAAGTTACTATGATTTTTCAATAGAGAATGGAAAAAGATCAACTAATTACCTGAAAGCTCCTGAATGTTTCTTAAAAATACAAAACCGTGTACTTGGATTGTTGCTATGAGGGCTGGAAAGACAAGAGACAAAAAATATTTTAATTTTATTATATTTATTAATTTTATGACCATACTTTCTTAGTTTTAAATAAAAGATCATGATCTAATAAAAGTCTGTTGGTCATTACTATTGATTGAATATTGTATATCCCCCCAAAATTCATGTTAAAATTATAACCCCAAGGTGATGCTATTAGGCAGTAGGTAGGCAGAGCTACTGGGATGATTAGATCATGAGGTCAGAACCCTCATGAATGAGATTAGTGCTGTTATAAAAGAGACCCCAAAGAGCTAGCTTGCTCCTTCCACCATGTGAGGGCACAGCAAGAAGGTGCTGTCAATGAGGCCCTCACCAGACACTGAATTTGCAGGGTCCTTGAGCAAGGACCTCCAGCTTCTACAACAGTGAGAAATAAATTGCTTTTGTTTATAAGCTACCCAGTCTATGATAATTTGTTATATGCTACCCAGCCTATGTACCTTATTATAGGAGCCCAAATTAATCAAGAGCCTCTTCTGTTTGAGACTTTTATCTTACGTTTCATTTTACCTGTATATTTTCTAATGACATATTTCCCTGAGAGTATTCTTAGATGATCAGTACATCATTCTAAAAAAAATACTCAAAGAGTTAAAAATGCAAAGAGCATCAAATTAAATTTTTTCAATAATTAATAAAGACACTTTTAAAAGGCATTTGCTAATAATGTATTTTACCCATAATAGAAATTGTTACAAATGATATTATCACTTTTTTAATGATACAACAGTGTATGCATGAGAGAAAAAGAGACAGGGAAGCACTCTTCATAGGCTCTTATTGCGTCACAATCCCTTCCACAGCCTTCCAGCCCCTCAGGATCTAGGTGCCAGTGTCCATACCCAGCATGTTTTCAAGCAGACCCAGAGATCCAAACCCATGGTCAGCCACATGGCTTCTAATCTTGCAGGGCACTTATATTAATGCTGTGCCATAGCAGCTGGACTTGTTTATTACTTTCCAATCTTACTATGTTTTGAGGAGGAAAGATAACCTCAATGATCTTGGAGGTAAATGCAACCTGAGCTAAATGCCATTGCTTACCAACAGTAAAATGAAGCATTTGAAAAGTCCTTTGCTGGGGCCAGCAGGTGGTGTGGTGGTTAAGGGCACTGGACTCTACATGGCCAACCTTGGTTCAAGTCCCAGACCTGGTGGCTTGCTTTCTCACTTTCCCTCTCTCTCTCTATCTCAATCTGGTCAAATTAAAAAATAAATAAGTAAAATAAGACAATTCTTTTATTAAAAAAAAAAGTCCTTTGCAATTAGGAGATTTTAAAAAAATATTTAATTTTATTTATCCATTCATTTATTTTAGTTTGATGAGAGAGAGAGAGAGAGAGAGAGAAAGTGAGAAAGCGAGCCA